CGAGAACTGAAACGTTACCATTAGTTGGGGTTACACGAGACCAACTGGATATTATCCTTGCAATATGACTTTACACTGTTGAACCTGTAAGTGTATAGCGTAAGATCGATTTATCAAGAGTGAAGACATTTAGTATAAATGTATTCTTATATTTCTCAGAAAATACTGACACAACTTTCGTTAATACTTTTGCGCTGGTAGACATTTGCGTTTGAGGACGTTGCAGCAGTTCTAAACTGCGGTTATACTTTTGAAAGATGCATGTCGTTTATATGTGTCGTAGGTCAGTGAGATCTTGAACATGTATCCCGCCCCCGATATATACTGTTTAATTATTACGCAGATAGTGTTACATTTTTGAGGCAAATTAACATACAATAGAGAATCAAAGCGAGTCTGCACACTCTCACAAATGTATTTCATAGTTGAATTAGTCAGAGAAATACATTCGTGTTAGTATGCGAATCTTGCATCACATAGAATTGTGTATAGAATATATATATCGATTTAAGTTTGAAAGTATTGGTTTGGGGAATAAAATTTGTAAAAGTGTGAAAGTGAAAATAGACGCTTAACCATTCACTATAGACCAACAGTTCTCAAACGGCGAAACGCGTCCCACAAGGGGGGCGTAGAGCATTTTTTAAGGGGCGTAAAGCTAATTAAAAGTAAAAATATTTGTTTTGTTTGATCCTGCCCGCCCTGTTTTGGATATTTACATTTCTTTATTTCGGACATTCACGTATTTTCAACGTCGTTTTTTGCATAAAACATAATTTACTATCAGTTGTTTGTAAATTATTGTTAGCTAGTTATTTTTTAGGTTGGGCGCCTTGACAAATTCTAAAAAGGAGACGCGGCTTGAAAAACTCGACAATCACTGGCATAGACGTTTCAATTCTTTCTATTTGCGGATATACTTTGCCTAGCATTGGTGTAAAACAACAGTCAGTAGTCGAACATTGATATTTTTAGTCGCCGAGGCAGGGAGTTATAAATTCAATTATTATTGTTATTTGCATTGGGATTCGTCCGGCCAGGAATTACGAGAGCCGTAAATTTTTGGAATTTTCCATTCAGAAATATTGTATCCACACTGATCGTGCAATATAAGAACAACTGTTCTAGGACTAGTAAAGAGTGATCTTTGTGAGGCGTTTTTCACATTCCCACTCAAGGCCCTAGACCAGCAGTCATTACTATGCAAAGAGTCACTGTACCACATTTTCACTCAAACAAGGCATCGGACAAGCATTCTTTAATATTTAAGGAGCTACTAGGTATAGAAATACCGGAAATTAGTCCGACATTTATTACCAATTCATAGGGCTGAGTGAAACCATGGGATTTGAATTCTGGATCTTCAAACTGTAACGCGAATTATTCATGTTCCAGCTTCAGTTCAGCTTCTGTTACAGTGGAATAGAATAAGTAGACAACCACATGATGATAATTTCAGCATTTGCGGGCGTCAGTGCTGCGTGTGACAGCAATTTTATAGGAAAGAACATTGGGAATGTGTCCATAAAGTCCCTTTACAATTTCAATTTTGTTATGAAGTCAGTTCTCAATATACAGGGTGTCCATAAAGTCCCTTTACAATTTCAATTTTGTTATGAAGTCAGTTCTCAATATACAGAGTGTCCATAAAGTCCCTTTACAATTTCAATTTTGTTATGAAGTCAGTTCTCAATATATCTTGACCAGGTTTGTTGTTTTTTAATCTACTTGTATTTTTACCTCGTTAATACTTCTGTGAGGGCCAAAACACGATGGTATCAAAAAATTTCCTTTGCAATTTTAAAAATTTCAAAGACTTCATGGACACCCTATATATACATAAAGAGGCTTCTAAACTATACAATTAGAAAAGTTGAAGCTGTTTTTCCCAATATATCTGTGCCAACTTATTCCTTTCCTCTCCCTTCGATAAATATATATAAACTATTGACTGATGTAACTTGTATGGTCTTATCACATGTTCCTAACAGCTGTATTAAAAAGATTGGCGTGTATTATGTGTCATAGTAATATTACACCTGCAACCATTGAAACATAATGACGAGACGAGTGCTGATTGTTCTATCACAATGATGTACAATTATCTCCATTGTTCTTACATAATTAATCCCCTCCTTCTCCTTAGGAGACTCTGTAGTAGTTACGCTTGCCAAGAAAATATATAATCTCAGTTTGTGACAGAAGATGCTACTCTGTTATTGTCCACAGCTGATTTGATGAATATTTTCTTTATTTTTTAATTTGATTCTGTATATCTTGGGTTAGTACAAGTTAGCAAATGGGGCAATACTATTAGGCGGCACTATTCTGTTATAAAAATGCTAAGCAATACAGAATTCCCCATTCCAAAGACTTATGGAACCTTAAGTGGAGGGCCATGTAAATAGAAGACAAAGAATAATAAATTTGTAAATGAGGACCAATTGAATATTACAGGCATAAGTATTTGTGTAGTTAAAGACATTAGTGAGGGGGTGGCCATTAAGCATGTAGCTTCATAATTCTAAAATTTATATTTTAAAATGTAATCATACAGTAGTTGGCAGTTTCTTTGTAGATGATCTACCATTACAGTTTCTTCATTTAATCTTATTACCATTTAAGTGAGACATAAGGTTACCTGAGGTATGAAATGGAAAAATTCTGGTGCTTGTGATGAAACCATTCGAGGAAAACTCATTTAGACCGTTTTCTAGGCTTTTATTAACTTAAACATGACTGCTATACTAAAACAAAAAAAGAACAATTTAGATTTAGATGATGTAGCAATCTAGACGCACGCTAACCAGAACCTTCGCTTTGCCATGCAACTATCAACATCTTCAGATTGCTCAGCGATAGTGCCATGTTGGCAACATTAGGTGGCGCTAATTCAATTTCATCACAGTATTCCCAAAAAATATTGCTCTAAAAGATAGTGGCCCCTTACATATCAGTAGCTGTTTGTCTTGTGTCTAGTTCAGAGTGACAGTATGACCAGGAAAGAAATGTTGGCTAATAGTGGTGTTAACCATGTTTCTGCGATCTTTTGTCCACGATTTAGTGCTTTTAATTTTAAACTTCAAGCAGAAGTTCAAGAGTTCTGTAAAGTTTTAAGATGTAATTCAAATAGTCCCTCACTGTGTGACAGACCATGCTTGGCATTGCGTAAATTCCAATTGGTTCAATATCGGCTCATTATTTGAAATGAATCAGCCATTACTTTGGTAATTTTGCTCGCTTGGAATCAAATTACTGGATATTAAGACTGTAATAAAAGGATATCAAATTATGTCTTGTGCGTTCCACATTGATGCAAACTAGGCAATTGCAAAATTGTGCTAGACTTTTTGAATGTTATTGCCATTGTTGGGGTGCACAAATGAAAAGGGGTTAGTTAAGGGTGAATTAAAATTTATTGAATAGTTTAGAGCAGTGGTTCCCAAACTTTTTTGCGACCCACCATTTACTACCACCGCCCTTGGCGACCCATTTAACTTTTTATGACATAACACAGAAAACAGCAATGGCTAATCATCGTCCACCTACCGTGTTTCTTCGAAAATAAGACCTGGCCTGAAAATAAGACCTAATTTGAATTTTAAAAATGATTTTAATCAAACCCTACCCTTAGAATAAATTTAAAATGTGTGGGAGAGGAAAGGTTCAATGACCTGAGGTAAGGTGAAGATCACACCACTATTCAAGATTGTGTGATGTCCCAATCACAATTATGATATTTGTCACTTGATTTTTTTATAGGAAATAAAAATAAAAACAATGGATGTCGGTTTTTATATAATGTTTATTAAAAAATCTCCTGCTTTTCTACAATGTAATTTTATTTTTGACAAATGAACTCAAAAGACCTCTTCCAAAAAAAAAAACATAGTGTTTTTAATCAAAAGAAAATAAATCTAAATCCTGTCTAAATTTCGGGGAAACACGGTAAAGAGTGCTGCACAGTGCTGTACAAAACTGCTATGCGTAAAAAGCCACATGGTCATTTTTTGTGCAGCAAATTTTTGTTCCTTTGAGAAGATAGTAAAAAGTAAACTTTGACAGATTAGAATTTAAATTCAATTTAATTTCTTTTGTTTTTTTGAATATTTACCTATTCGAGTCGCCACCGATTCTAATAACCATATAATTAATCACAGCTTTCTACATCTTTTCACGACCCACTAAAATTCCTTTTGCGACCCACCAGTGGGTCGCGACCCATAGATTTGGAACCGCTGATTTAGAGGTTTCACATTGATCTGCAATTATCATAAGTCTTTTTGAAATAATAACATGAATGAATGATATTTAGCAATTTGTAAAAAGTACGTTGTAGGGCTGTACGAAATCGGAAAAGGTTGGGAAACACTGTCCTATACTTCACAGTGTAAGGAGAATATGCCTAACTAGGTATCAAAATTAGATATGCAGCACAGTGTGACATCAATTTATCACGGGTAACAATTAGGCGCGAGATAGAAGCAAACCCGGTGCCCAACTTACGGCCTTACGGGTGTCGATGAGCAAACTCCGTGCTCATATACATTAACACTGCTTTCTTGTTTCTTAAAGTCTCATTAGAACATAGCTTTATTATGGTGACTATTGGATTGTTCTACTCTCATATCCAGAGTATAAAATTGCCATCACAGCCTTTTAACAACTGGTGCATGCTAGTTCAATTTACATGTCCAAAAACAATTTCCCAATGTATTTGTGTAATATTAATATTAATCAACTCCTGAAAATTAAACTCTCAACGGTCTTGTGCCACTTTGTGCTTTAAAACATTTACAAGCAAAAATTCTGAATACCATTGGAATTTAGCGATTTGTAGAAATAGTGATTGGAATCAAAATAGTTATAGACTTCTGGTGTAGATCACTGTTTAAGGAATATCGGAATAAAACTGTGGCCTAACCTTACCTTGGTACACACACTATGGAAGTCACAGAATATATTGTTACAAAGACTTAAACACAATCTTATTTTTCCAGCACTAAACCTAACTCTGAGGGAGAGGAAGAAGAAGTTCTTAACTTCGTCGACCGATTGAAATTCTTCAACCAACTTTCAAAGAATACTTCTTCACCTAAATCAAAAGGTAACATTCGTCTGTTTCAATGATCTGTGCAAAGCTCAATGCAGTTGCAAATTTTTTGCCTACAGCTCTAAACGGGCTGTAAGAATATGGGTAGGCAAGGCAAAAATACCCCCCCTTTTTTTTAAATATCAGTTCTTCACGTTTCATATGACTTGTACAGTGCAACCTTTGGAGTGGATGTGTACCTGAATATAGATTCTATTATAAATGTAATTTTGAAAACTCGTATTATGACATCATAAAAAATTTAAATCCAATAAAATATCGATTATTGTCATTGAAATTAAAAATTGTCTTTTTTTGGTCATTTTAGTACGAAGGCGATCTGACACTCAACCGGTCAAATCATCTCAAATCAGCAAAGCTACTGAATTACTGACTGCAAATCAACAAAAGGTAAGAAAATTTTTATATCAGTTGAATTTGGCGTCAATCTTGTTCTTTACTGACCCAGAAGCTGCAAGCAGTCACTTATGAGCCAGAGCTGTGTTTATATATAAATATATAAGTTTTGTATAAGTTCGTTTTAAGCAAGATCCTGAGCCAGAGTTGCAGACGGTCATTTATTCATTAGAGTTAGAAAGTTAAAGTGAATATTTTACTGATAGAAGAGTTTTAAGTAACCACTGACACGCTATGAGCTATGTGGTTTTCTGCAGTTCCCTGTGAATGGGGATTCTAATAAGCCTCAGCAAATAACCCAACTTTTCCAACACCTGTTGTTGAATATCATTCAAGCACCCTCTCAAATTTTGATTTAAAATCGATCTTGTTGACATTTTAAACTCAGCAGCCCAGGAATCAAGTACTTTTAACAAAAGCTATTGAATACCAATAGAATTCAGTATGCCTTGTAGTTGACATAAGCAGCCTCTGAGGGTTTATTTTTCACTACATTACCTATAATGTGTTAACTGTTTAATATGACCAACTTTAGAATACATTAAATATTCCATGTTTCAGAATGTATTGTATGTTCTGTTCAATATTTAGAATACATAAAATATTTCCCACTCCAGGAGTGTGTGTACTAATATGAAGGTAACTAATTTTGTTCGCCTACTTTACATCAAGTTGTATAAAGGAAATAAAACCTATGAGCAGAGAGATAGATATTCACTTGGCTAACACAGACAGTCCTCGAACTTGCAATAGAACTAAAATGGGGAATATCTGAACAAAATTATGGCCTAAACTTAACCTGGTACACATACTACGGGAGTAGCAAATAGTCTGTGCTTGAAAATATTATTTCAGTATGTATGTGAAATGGTAAATTATTCAGCCTTTGCCTGTTTGAACTCCTGATTTTTTTTTCTGAATTGGTCGAGCACACTTGAGCCCACACTTCCATATAATCTGTGAAGCGCTCTCAAGTACACTCTATGATGTCATACTCGTGATTTTGTTCAAATCTGACTGGCTATGAAATTAGAGCCAGCTGTTTGAATGATGCTTTTCTATTGACTTTTGTATTTCATATGGAGTTGATTGAGATGATGTAATGGAACTGTTTATAATTTTTTGATATATTTCTGATAGTAGCTTTAGTTATATGGTTGGGTGATTCACGAACTCAAGTGAGCTTCTCATTGATTAAACATCTATGACTCACTTCTTCTTTTCAATAATTAAAACAAAATTTGGACCCATTCATTAAAAAAGGGTTTGTAATTTCTGGTAAGATGGCGGACACCGGAACATAGTATGTTTACCAGATTAGGGTTAGGACATAATTTTATTCCAATTTTCCTTATTTCAGTTCCATTATGAGTTCGGGGACTAGCTAGCTAAGGGACCGTAGTATCTGTACCTAAAATTATGGCCTAACCCATCTTCGTTCATATATTTTTGGGAGTACCGTTTTTTGCGTCTCCTTTTACCTTGGAATTCCCTTTCATTCTCTTTTACAATGTATATGTGCAATGTGTATTTTCAACATTCAGCAGCAATTAACTACTACCGGTAAACACTCAAAATTTTCATTCAGAACGAGAAGTCTACTGAGATCAAATCATTGAAGAAGGTTTCCCCAAACCATTCACCGTTGAAATCACCGACAAAAACATCGAGATCTCCTATTACTAAATCAACCCCAACTCCGATTCTCAGCCCAAAAAGTCCGACTATCGTTCCATCGATACAACGTCTTACTCGTAAATTTTCGATCAGCAGTTCAAGCGACAACGAATCTCTGCTCAGCTCTAGCTCAACTAGCACTGATGATTGTGAACCTGGGAAAAAGAAGCTTTATTTAAGGTTGGCGGACGTTTTTTTTATTTTCATTTTTATTTTTTAATGAGCGTTGGCTGATTTGCTGCTTCATGCTAAATGTTAGAATCATTTGCTGTGTTGTTTATCACTTTCCGTAGGTTTGCTGTTTGTATCCTGTGGAGGGGATTGTCGAACTCTGAAATGTGCTCAGAAATACATTAATATATAACCGTATATGCTGGTTTTACCGCCCGATCTTGATTAAGGGCCCGTTTGAATAGGCGCCCTTGTGAACAGAACATAAAAATAAATAATACCTGCCCGATGTAAAAGCTGATTTTTCAGTGGTAGAGAACAATAGGAAATAAGAAGCGCTTTTGTCACAACGATGTTAATTTTTAGGCGCCGGTAGATAACACTCACGCCTCAGGCGTCCAAGTATATAACAGATACCATTGATTACGTAACACCATGGTTCTCAAACTCAAACAATTTCGTCGTTTTAATATTGATAGGGCGTTGCAAAACTTTTCTTCTTGTGCGGATTTGTACCTGCGACGGTAGAAAAAGTTAAAATATTCGTTATTCTCGTTCAAATCATACTTAAGAACTATAAATAACAATATATTAATTATTGTAGCGATCCAAAATAACAAGCGCCCGTACTTGAAAAAGGGCCGGTTTAAATAGGGGCCCGGTTAGTGAGTTGGTTGATAAAAATATGGGCCCGGGATACAAAACGAGCAAATACGGTAGTTATTTGGAATTCTTTCACTGGTGCACGAGTGTTATCTGGTTTGGCTCATTGTGTCAAGTTTAGGGAACAATTCTGGTGGTTGTGTCTGATTACCCTTGGTCAGCAGTTAATGTAGCGCCCTATCATTAAGGTTTTTTTTTGGATGGGCTCAAGAGGGTTAGCTAATTTGGCCCATGAAAGTGGTTCAAATAACCATTGGTCAGTTAGATATTCTTCTCACATTCAACCTATTCATCTGATATAAATAACTGGTTTAATGTTTTCGAATTAAATATGAATACCAAGACACACTCTTAGGTGCTAATTGAGCGTGTTCACCCCCCCCCCCCCTCCCCAATGCTGATTATCCCACATAGCCTTTCTTATTTATAGGGCTAGAAAATTAATCAAGCTATACGGAAATAAATTCAAGTTTTGTTCGAGAATATTTTTTCATTTTTGTTTTTTTATTACAGTGAAGAATCTACTGCCTCCAGTGTTGACATGTCTGTTGACGTTGCTGAGATCAAATCGACGGGTTCGATTCACGAGCGGATGAAACGTCTTCAACAAAACACAACGGAAGAAAAATGGAGAAAGCAAAGTCGGAATTCTGAAATCAAATCAAGCGTCAGTGAACGACTGAATAAGCTGAAGACCAACGATGAGAAGTAAGATAATGGGTTATAGATTTTATTTTTATCTGAAAGGGAGGAAAGCCGATAAGACGGCTTAATCATATGGCAAACCAAAGCCTCTCGTCCGGTTAACAGTCCATGTCGGGTAAAGGATTAGTTAGCCATTTCAGCAAAGAAGACAAGTAAGATGAACACTAGGAGTTGAAAACTCTTCCACCAGACAAAATTAACTGGTCAACTATCATTGATGTCAAAAATGCAGTGTGGAACAAAATCACCTGAATCTAATGTAATAAAAAGGCATTAGTCATGTCACTTTCCATTACTGATGTATTTTCTGAAACACATTGACTGAAAACTAGTTTGCCTGGTTTTAGAATGTTGATTGGGCTTAGTTAAGTTGATATCACATAAAAGTCTGAGATTCAAACACCTTGCCCACCCACCACCTCACTCATGGTGCACTAAATTGAGAAGACATTGTCAAAAAAAAATTCTAGTTTCCATAAATGAAGTAGCACTTCACATATCATTAGTATGTTGCTCACTGTGTTATTCACTGTACTCGCCACGTCTTCCTCAAATAAAAAAAATCAGTAATTAATTTGACAACTAGTGGTAACCTTTGAACTCAACAACATTACAGATGGAAAAAGAATCCTGCTGCAGCAGATTTTGCTGCTCGTGCCGAAAAGTTGAGCGAGAGGATTGCGAAGATGAAAGAGGATTCAATGACGTGGAAAGATAAATCAGGAAAGCAAAATGATGCAACTCAGTTCACTGTCCAAGCTAAGCTGGCTAAAAGAGGTAATTGGAGATGAAACAAAAAAGCATATTGTCTTGTGACCGACGTTCTCTCTGAGCTGCGTTGCCGTGCTGCTGGCCGAGAATCCCTGCGCAGTACTTTCGTTCTTCCGCGCACTGCATAACTTGCACAAAGCGTACACTATGTGAAAAAAGCATAATTTTCCATGCAGATCTTTTTTTGGAGATTTCGCTCAACTAAGCAAGCTCTTAGAGGGAACGTTGCTTGTGACAAAATATATATAGGGTGTCCATAAAGTCTTAAAATTTCTCAAAATTATGACGGAATTTATGGATATCATATATTGTTTTGGCCTTCACAGATGTATTGAATAAATTAAAAATACTTAAACAATTACTTAATAAATAAAACAAACCTAGTTAAAATATATTGCAAACTGTTTTCATAACAAAATTGAAATTGTAAACTTTATGGACACCCTGTATAAGAAAACACCTTGAAAAAGTATATATTGTGGCATGTAATGAATTATGTTCTGTGAGATACTCTTAATGCTTAGTCCACGCAGACTTACACACGGCAATAAACCGGCGATGACAAGCATATCCCTAGCAACTAGCATGATGTGTCAGTCGTTGAGCAAATTACTTCATTGGCTAAAAATGAGATATATCCCACATTAATTTCAAAAGTGCCAAATTACAAAAACCAAAAAATAATTTTGGAGATGTTGTCACAGCTAAAATAGTTGGGTAATGCAATCCTAACCATTCTTTTAAAACACAGAGGGCATAAAAGCAGTTGCTGTTCTTCCTTCGCCATTAATCAAACGACGTGTTCTGCCCATGATTGTGCCAAGTCATGTTTCTGCTGTCACAGAAACCGATGCAAAATCAAATGATGACTCAACGAGCATGAATCAGCTTTCTTTTGTCGAAAAACTTGCAAATAAAGGACTCGAAGAAAATGTTTTAAAGGTGGGTGTTATGTGCAAGTAGTTTATTGGCATAGAGACTGTCCTTTACCCTGGACAAGGTTTCAAGTTGGTCCAAATACATGACCATGTCCTCTTGTTTAGTACCATTCCAGGATGGGCTTGGTAATAGTTAACCTGGTAACTGCCTCAGGGACAATTGATTGGCTAACTAGTCTCATGTCCGTCCTGTTGTGAGGCCTGGACAAGAGGCCGTGGCAGTGATTTCCCTACATCCTCCTATGAATGGTGAACACTCCCCTAAAATTTCCGTAACTTTGCTCTGAGATGAGTCTCCTTTACTTCTGAGTGAGTGCTTGTAACTTTGCTCAGAGATAAGTCTGCTTTACTTCTGAGTGAGTGCCCATAACTTTGCTCAGAGATGAGTCTCCTTTACTTCTGAGTGAGTGCTTGTAACTTTGCTCAGAGATAAGTTTGCTTTACTTGTGAGTGAGTGCTTGTAACTTTTCTCTGAGATGAGTCTCCTTTACTTCTGAGTGAGTGCTTGTAACTTTGCTCAGAGATGAGTCTTCTTCACTTCTGAGTGAGTGCTTGCAACTTTACTCAGAGATGAGTCTTCTTTACTTCTGAGTGAGTGCTTGTAACTTTACTCAGAGATGAGTCTCCTTTAATTCTGAGTGAGTGCTTGTAACTTTACTCAGAGATGAGTCTCCTTTACTTTTTCTGAGCGAGTATGCGAGACTTTACCTTTAACAAATTCACCTAAAAAAATTTATTATCATAAATTTTTTCCAGCGAACCGAAGTATTAACAACAGAAGTCCCCGAGTTTGATGAAAAAGAATTTGAGAAATTTTTTGTTTCAACGCCCGAGATGAACGGTGACGCTGAGCATGAGATAGATGATCTTCCACAACTAGAGGTCAGTAGTGCACTCACTGATTGTCCATTTAGTGAATTCTTCATTTTCCAAAATATTGGGAATAATCTCATTTGGAAATATAACAATGTTTATATTCTCTCATATTTTTATTAGCGTACATGATTTCTTAAGAATTATATTATGAGCTTTATTTACAATATATTCCATATTTCATTTTTGAAAATATTATGAATGTATTCGAATAAGTATATTATTCGATTTTCACCGTCTGTCACCACATCACATGCGAAGATTTCGCCCAAAAGTAGGTTGATTATTACCGTATTTTCCCGAAATTACGCCTATATCGAGAATAGGCCGACTCTCTAAAAACGGCCCTAAAACAACGATTTTATAAAAAATCGCACATAAGCGGGTTCTACGAATCGTTACACGCCAGACGCTTCAAGAAGAAGTAATAGAGAAACAAAATTACTGTAACGCAAACATTTCTCACGTTTATCGTTTCCGCATGTTAGCAAGGGCCGTAGGTGGATTATTACCCGTAACTCTTACTTGTTAATTTATGTTAATAAAGTCTAGATTGCTTTTCAATGTGTCGTGATTGTGTCGGGAGTTTAAAATAGAGTTCCTGAATAAGCATAAAACAATTTCGTTTGATCGCCACAACGACGATTAATTTCGTTCCTTATCCGTTTCAAGGAAAGAAATACCGCTGTATTAACACATTCTTATAAATCGCTACGAATCTTAACATGCCAGACGCCTTGAGAAAGGCGCAGAAAGAAAACAAAATCGCTGTAACACAAATATTTCTAATGTGTATCATTTCTGTTAGCGACGGCCGTAGATCCTTACTCGTAACTCTTACTTGTAAGTTCATGTTAATAAAGTCTATATTGCTTCTCATGCGTCGTGATTTGTATTAATGGAAGGGATTGTTGTCGGGAGTTTAAGAGAGTCTCTGAGTCAGCATAAAACAATTTTCTTTGATCGTCCACAATGCGGTTAATTTCGATAAGAGTCCTCATCACCGCCCCTTAACGGATAACATATCCATATCGTGAAGGTGATTAAAAGTTGTGCGCCGTTAATTGCCTCTCTGGCGAAAGTGCACCAAATAATAAAGTTTTCACCACGAAACAACTGGCCGTAAATCGACACTGTTGCCGTTATATAAAAGAACACAAGCAAAAACAAACAATCACAGCCTGTACAAGCGTGACGTGTAAACAACCAATCAAAGACTGTACAAGCCATCAGCTGTATGATAAGACAATCCACTTTCACAAGCGAGTGTGTGTGTGCTCGACGCATTTTATCGTGAGAACTTGGTATGATTTGAAGCTTTTGAAATTACCGGCAAGTCAGCATCTCGTTGCGTGATCAAATTCTGATACGTGAATGAGCCGATTTTTTTGGTGCAATCTGAGTCATGCGCGAATAAGACGGTCCCTTAGTTTGGCAACTTTTTTTTTGAGTTTTGAACTCGGCCTATACGCGATCATATACGGTAACTGTAAACCTACTTTCTGGCCAATTTTCATATCTCAGCAATAAACATCGATCTTATTCCTCACCATTCATCTATTCCCTTTTTCTCATCAGGGCGCATCAACACTCTCGGACATAGGAAGATTGAAGACGAATGTTCAACAAAAAAACAAACGCAAATCATCGGCCAGGAACCCCCTCAAAGCCCTTGCTAAAAGAGCAGATCTTAAGGTTGGTGCTCAGTGGTTGGTGCTCACAAATACTCATCTATTACTATATTAAAGTATTGGGTAGAATATTGGACTTTGATGTGATAGCATCGCAGCCTGAAAATTTTGAGTTCAAATCTCCATGCGTGAGTTCTTATGCTAGTTTCAGAGTTATATGGGTCTGTCCAGTCCTCTGTGAGATCAAAAGCTCTATGTGTCTGTGTAAAAAATTGAATAATAATTCTTTTTGTTCAACCTATCAACAGTACAATTCCTGTCCTTCCAAAAATATGAGCTTCTTACATTACTGTGGCTGCTTGTACAGAGCGTTGCTTGGTCAAAGGTGTGGAATCTTTCATAAAAATTTTGTAAGCTCATCCAAAGTCTATATGTATGTCATGCACAATAAACCCAACAGTACTAAACCATCTACTGTTTTCACAGCAATCATACGACACGGAGAGACTGAACATAGCAAGGTTGGAGCAACAACGAATTGCACAAAGAGGTTACGGAGCAAACTTCACTTCAGCAGCTCTGGCTGGGCTGGCGGCAAAAGCTGACTTGAAAAATGTAAGAAAGATTCAATTACTTATCTAATAAAAACTCTTCCTTCAAAATGTTGAATTCCAAATGTTTCAAATCTCAAATAGAAAGAGAAATTTTTTCTTCTAGTTGATGTATAGTGATCCATGCAAGTTCTAATCTGTTACAGTTTTCCCAGCATCAATTTCATGCATCTGAAACAAATGTTCCCATACCCAACATTGATAGCTGGACGAGAGACATGGTTCACCATGTGATTGAACCGTGAGATAAATCTTTTACGTTCATTCTACTTTTAGGTCAACTTACGAAGTGCGAAAAACACTCCTATGCCATCTAGTGACGATCTCAAGCCATTCAAAGACGTTATGTTGCTAAGGGCTAAAGGTCGTCGCCAGGTTCAAACCAGACTCGTTGAACCACGTCCATCGTCTCTATGTAGCGATGATGCGTATCTTCTCGTCACACCAACCAAACTCTTCGGCTGGTTTGGGGAATTCTGCAATGTTATTGAAAGAGCAAAGATTAATGTGAGTTTGTGAATAATTGTGTCTGAAGAAGTTTACTGGTTAAAATACGGATTGATTTCACTCATAATAAGACAAAATTTGGTACTCCCGTAGTATGTGTACCATGTTATGATTTCACTCATAATAAGACAAAATTTGGTACTCCCGTAGTATGTGTACCATGTTATGGTTAGACCATAATTTTATTTCGATTTTCCTTAATTCAGTTCTATTATGAGTTCCGGGACTGTCTGTGTTAGCCAAGTGAATAGGTTTCAGTTCCTTTATACAACTTGATGTAAAATAGGCAAACAAAACTAGTTGCCTCCATATTGGTACACACACTTCTGAAACACCCAAAACTTTACAGGAATACATTTGTGTTTATTTTGTGGCAAGACTTCTAAATCATTTTGACGAGCTATCCTCACTCTTGCTACAGCATTAGTGCATTATATGTTGCTTGCTGTTGCAGAGTCATTCTATTTCTACTTGTCTACTTTTAAATTTAAATTTTTTAATTTTTTCAAGTTAAATTTTTTTGTTAATTTTTTTCACTATTTGTGGTCCATTCCGTCCTGAAGCAAAACATGAGAAATCCTATGGATGAAATATTCATTCCGATTTCCTCTTCTTTCTCAGGAAATAGCCGACTACATAGTGATCAAAGGGGATCTTGGTTGCAAAGTCTCAGCTCTGAAAACTATCGAAGAGGATCACAACCCGAAGCATTGTAAAGAATTCTGGGATTTTCTCGGCGGAGTGTAAGTTTTTAGATGGCCATCATGTTCTTGAAAAAAATTGCTTAAAGCACAATCATACGCACACTCACTCAGAAGTGAAGAGGACTCGTGTATGAGTGAAGTTAACCGCTGAAATGCTGAGCTGCTGAAATCGGGCAGAATTATGGTGATGCATTATGCATATACTCACTCAGAAGTAAAGGAGACTCATTTATGAGAATACACTAATTCAGAGACGAAGGAGACTCATCCCTGCGAGTACACTCACTTAGAAGTAAATAAAACTCATCTTTGAGAATACACTCACTCATAAGTAAAGGAGACTCATCTCTGAAAAAACACTCACTTAGAAGTAAATGAAACTCACATCTGCCAATAGCTACTGAAACCGTATAGAATTATGGATTTGCATTAGACGTTCTTAACAGTAAACACAGGCGATACTTGATGCAGTTTAAGACAATACAAATGAGGCTTACAGCTTGAGACAGTGAATTGCAACTGAAGTTCTTGGAATCATGGCATCCTATCGAATCTGTTTGAAATACCATTGGTTTTGTAAGGTACCGTCATTGCAACAAATCACGTCACAGACAGCGATTCCAATTAAACTTTAACATGGCAAGCTAAATCATCGTACTTGACTTTCAACACACTCAGTTTTAGAACTTTCTCACTTGAGACTGGTTACCATACGGGTTTAATTCACTTTGCAAGCACGCTGAGAGCATGCTGTTGTTCGATATTTTCTTGACGAGAAATTTTTTAAACTTAAAGATTATATTTTGCGTTTCAACACTCTGTATATTATTTTGTATTGCTTATTCCTCTTTATATATATTTTAGATTATCGAATTGTCATTTTATATGAGATTTTTAAAATGTGATTCATTCAGGAAATATTTTAAACAAGATATTAGTTCAAATTTTTAATAATAAATTTATAAACTTGTCACTCAGCGATTATCCCTCTTTTTTCTCTAGTGGCGAATGGCAGAAGTCTCCGTCTCCAGGGGCAGACGAACAATACGAGGTTGATGTTGGTACGACGATAAAGACTTATAAGATGATTGTGAGTGTTTTCATATTTTATATTGAGTCTTGTTTGAAATCAGAGCCTAGTGACTCATTTAATTAGTTGAGCGAAGTTACATTTCAAGCGGTGACACAAATACACAGAGTAGATTTCGAATTTAATCCCTGTGCTCAATATGTTGGGATAAGCTGAACAAAACTTCCTAGGCCAGTGCTCTTCAACCGAGTATACGGTATACCCAAGTGTATATCGGACCATAAGTTGGGTATACAACTGAGAAAGTGTATACGAAGGGTGTGCAGCTTAAGTCAGGGATTCTAAACTCTAATATAATAAATTATAAAATATTCCAGCAGAGATAACAATGCAAACGCGGCGCACACAAAATATAAAATGTCATTTAAGCAAAGAACCGACGTGAGCACATTGTTACAACACAAATTATATAGATAATGCGGTCATTTGTCTGGGCTGGTGATTTCGGCTGCCATGCATTTCGTTTGATTTACGTTGAACATTATTCCTGTTGCCGTTAAGGCCGTCAATCAAATTTATAACCTCTGGACGCTAGCCTATCAGATTGCATGATGATATTGCAGTACAATATGTGCTTAAAATTTAATGTTTATTTGAGCCCTGAATGAACATTGGTATTTGTAAGGTATACAAAGTTCTTGAAAAATTGTAAAAGGTATACCATGATAAAAAAGGTTGAAGAACATAGGTTCAGGTGACTCAGGTCACTTTGAGTCTGATAAGTGGTGAATGGAGTCTGAGCCGAGTCATTGAATCAGGACCCCGGCACGTTCAACTCTAAAGGCTGAATTAACTTTGAGTTTTTGATAAATGTTGAGTCGACTTGAGCCTCCCAATGCTCTGTGCCAAGTGTATTGAATTTTTTGTTTCATTTCCAGTGGCTATATTTGTATTTTTCTATTTAGGATTCCAAGTTGGTTCCATATGAAGATGCCTGGGGGAAATTCCCTAAGATGGAAATGCTCGGGTCCAGCGATACATTTGTCTTTGATTTTGGAGCGGAAATGTATATTTGGCAGGTGGGTTTGATTAGCTCAGTTTTGCTCCGAGATAAGTCTCCTTTTTGAGTTCCCACTATAATTCCATATTGTTCCATTAGCTCTCAGTATTTAATTGGTCGCCCGTAACTTAGTTCGGAGATGAGTCTCCTCCACTTCTGAGTGAGTTCCTGTAACTTTTCTCAGAGATGAAGCAAGTCACATATTCTTGCTTCGTGCAAATTCTTTTGAAAATATTCATAATCAGACAGTGATGACCAAAAGAAATCTAAATTCAGTTTTTTCTAGTTTTTCTAGATTTTTCTAGTTTGCATTAAAAGTCATGCATGACAGTTACTTCAAATTATACCGAGAAACTTTAAATTGTGAGAAGCGCTTCAAACTACTTTTCAAAATATCTAATTGCCCACTGCTATGCAAATCAGGTATACCTCATGAATTAAATAAAGAAGCACTCAACTATGAAGTATTAGAATAAACAATGCCACCCACACAACCCCCAACATATTCTACCATATCGCAGTTGAGCGTTTTTTATCTGACAGAAATTTATATTTATCTTCCAGGGCAAAGAGGTCTCATTCTCTGACAGACGTCTTGCTGTCCGTCTCGCTCGAGTGATCTGGGAACAAGATTATGACTACACAGAGCAAGGACTTTGCCCTTTTCATGGTTTGGAATTGAAAGGGAAACGAGAAGACTGGGCTCTATTTGCAAGGTTGGCTTGGTTGTATTTGCTCATGTTATTTTCATAAGGTCACAAAAAATTTAAGCGACTGGGTTCTATTTGCACAGTTGATTTGATTGTATACGTTCAAATTAACATAATGATTCTCACTATGGAGTGAACAAACTCACTCATGTTCAGAAAATTGGTTATATTTGCAAAGATTTTTAGCTGTATTGGCTCAAATCCTCACTCATGTATTGCAACCATTGATCTACAAATAGTATGGCTGGGCTGTATTAGCAAGGTTGGTCTGGTTGTATTTCCTCAAGTTATTATCATGAAGTCACAAAACTTATGTGTAGAATTATATACAATCACTGAAATACAATAATAACAACTGATGAAAATTGAATATATTAGTCAGAATAGACTTTACTCCCGTAGTATGTGTACCAGGTTAGGGTTAGACCATAATTTTATTCTGATTTTTCTTATTTTAGTTCTATTACGAGTTCAGGGACTGTCTGTGTTAGCCAATTGAATATACCCCCTGCCCATAGGCTTCAGTACCTTTACACAACTTGATGCAAATAAGCGAACAAAATTAGTTACTTAAATATTGGTACACAAACTTCTGGAGCACTGAGTGGACTGTATTCAGTTGTAGAGGTCGTCAGAGTAAATATTATCTTCCTATATTTCACCACTTGTTAGGGATCACCCATCTTTGTATGTTTATGAACATTTCTCATTCCTTCTCCAGAGTGAATGAAAATCTAGAAACCTCACTGTTCCAAGAAAAGTTTGAAAACTGGTCGAACATCCATCGAGAAATTGGAGCGGAAGAAGCAGTATTGAGGGAATCCAATCGCGGGAAAGAGGTCGTGGAGAAAAAAACGAAGTCGTCTATTGCATCGGATATGCAGGGCTGCGATCCTAAGGAAATGAGAGATGGGAAGACTGAGCATGTGCCCTTGATTATTGAAGGTATGTATCGGTGCAATTATTGGCTGTTAGTGTAGTTTTTATGCTGGTTAGATATTTTGGTACTCCCGTAGTATGTGTACCAGGTTAGGGTTAGGCCATAATTTTATTCCGATTTTTCTTATCTTAGTTCTATTACGAGTTTGGGGACTGTCTGTGTTGACCAAGTGAATCCCCCTGACAATAGGTTTCAACCCTTAATACAACTTGACATAAAGTAGGCGAACAAAATTAGTTACCTCTATCTTGGTACTCACACTTCTGGAGCGACCTTAAAAATACATCTTTTCCAAGCAAATATATTTTGAAATATATTTTGAAATAAATTCCATACCCAAAAATGTTACTTTAAAATCTATTCGTAATTGTTGATCATTCAGTCATGACCTCCCCATATCACAATATTTAAATAACATAAATTTCAATTTTTTTACACTAAAATCAATTTATGAACCTATCTTCTTAGGTTGTGACGTTTCCCAAGGTGCCGGTGATATAGTAGATGAAGACGGAAGAATCTTAGAGATTGTAACGAAACAAGTTGAAACGTTCCATGTTACTGAGAGCAATGTTGAGCCTTTCAACGATTCGGTTTTGCATCGATCAAATTCTTACGTTGTGAAATGGAAATATTCAATCTCTAGTACAGGAAGATTTGAAAATAGCAAGGTTGGTGTTATTTGTTGAAAGTAAAAGAGTACTGTAGTGAAGTTCAAACCCCACTACATTAATTGGATTGTATGATTAGTTATTTGTTTTTGGAAGCATAGACTTGATGGTGGAGAATGCTGTAACTGTTATGTAAACTACCCTACGGTAGCGAAGAGTCCAGCAATCCTCTCGCACATAACTATCCCCTTGTTTTATAGTTCTGTCAATTATGCTCAGCCACAAATAATTATTGTAACTTTTCTACCATATTGAATAAACTTGCAAAATATAAAATTCACAGGAATCAAAGTCCAGTTCACCCGACACCTCCAGCAACGGTAGAGAACGTGTCGCTTACTTTTCATGGGTCGGATCTGATGCTGCTGTCGGGGATAAAGGAGCCTCTGCCATAATTGCTTCAAATATGGATACAGGTTGGTTACCATAGAAATGCTAATTCATGAAGGGTAGAGCAGGGGTGAGAGGTTTTTGGAACAGGGGCTAAAATGTTGCGCTTATCTAGATTGGCGGGCCATGTAATGCGACGTGAAAGTTACGTCTTATGAACAATAGATATTGTTACAAAAGCAAAAGTGGAAAACAATAAGCCTCGTACCGAATCTAAATTTAATCGCAGTTTAAATAAATTTATTGAGCTATTTTATGGCTAAAACATCAAAAGTTTGGTTTTATTTGTGTTGTGGCAGCATCAGGCAGGCTAGATTCAATTAGTCAACAGGCCGGATTTGGCCCGCGAGCCATAGTTGGCTCATGTCAGAGATAGAGGGAAGCTGTTTAAACGGTCGATCATATGACGACAACTAGATAAATATTCTATACGCATGCATTCGGATAGTGAGGGAGGTGTTGTCAAATGCTCGTTGATTATTAAAACTGTTTTATCCACTTTCCTCTCTCTCTTGCGTAATGTTGCATATTTTTTTGTTACAATTTTTCATCATCCCTTTGCTGCATTGTGCCAGTCAAAATACTCGGTATTAACTGTGGGATCGCTCACCTCCAAATCCCATGAATGTTATTGCACTAGCTTATTTTTCTCTTTTAGATGATGGACCAATCCTTAATATAGAAGAAGCAACAGCGCCACCAGTGTTCAATAAATGTTTCCATGGTAACCTAGTTATCATGGACGGCAAGCGAGGCGTAAAACGAGGAAGTTTCACTTGGAGATTGTATGAGGTCAGAGGTCACTGTGAAGATTCTGTCTCTCTGATAGAGGTTTGTTTGAAACATTTTTGCCCACTCTTTTTTCTTTCTGGCAGCTATGCTGGGTTAGGGAAACATAGGAAGCTGCATCCTCTGGGCCTGCCATCCAAAATAGGCCCTTAGATGCCAACCTACTGAGAGCCTCTCTGTGTGTTTGTCAAAAGAACAGGTATTCCCGCAATGATGTCATAAAAAGCTTTGCCTGTCTAAGGGGTGGTTAATGTTTAAAATTTAACTATGTTGGGAGGTTGAGAATGGAAGGATTCCAGTCCTTCAAAAATACAGTAGACTTTCTGCTTTTCCCATGTTTGGAGGCTCAATTCATTGACTCAAATCGAGTTGGACTCGATCTGAATGATCAGACTCGTCAACTAATTACTAAGTGAGACTTAACTCAGTGATTGACAAATGGTTGAGGCAGTATGCTCCCCAGCGTTTTATTTTATGGGGGGTGTTTCCAAATTTAGATGGGTGTTCACCCCCTATTTTATGGGGGGTGTTTCCAAATTTAGATGGGTGTTCACCCCCTATAGAGAGGGTGTAGGGAAATTACTAGTTGAGACTATGATGACTCGATTTGACTAGTGACTTGTTTCGAGACTTCCACCCAACATATTCCAATGACACTCTGATTCTTTACCGACCCATAAACAATATAATTTTGTATTTCAGGTAAATTGTGAATGTCGATCTTTACGTTCCTGTTCATCGTTTGTTACATTGCTTCCTCGGGATGCTACTGCCATCGTGTGGCACGGTTGCAGATCTCCAAAGAACATCCGTGAGGCTGCTGAAGCTGCAATAAATAAGGTAAATGGTTTTTCCGATTGATTTATGTGAATCTGCTCAAAGCAAAGTTACGAGCCTGACATGCTATGAGCTTATATAAGTTTTCCACAAGTTTGCTCAGAGCAGTTTTTCAAGCTGTCAACTAATATAAAGTAGAGTTAGGATAGGATTTACATACTCATCATGGAGGGAAAGAAAGCTGAACCAATCTACGATGGGAATTCCACCGATCCTCTTCATATTACTATCCCTGCACGGGATTCATACCTGCAAACCCATGCAGGGTTAACAGAGGTACGAGCGTATTCCTAACTCTTAGCACGGTGCGACACATCGCTTGAGCCACTGAAATGCTGATAGAGGTTTTCATTAATGTCAAGCAGCTAGAGCTCTCAAGTAAGAGTAATTATAGAAGAGCAACTATCAAGTTCTGAATCTGGACTTGAAAAACTTTTCTGAATGTCATAACTTCATAACTGGTGGCAAATATTTGATAATACCAAACTAAAACCCTGATTCGGAAGCAAACAACAAACTAAGGCATGCATCTTGAATGAATAATTGGTTAGCCAATCCCATACCCGACATGTATTGGTAACTGAATTAGAAACCATGAATTGCAACTTAACCCATTTTATCACCTTTCTTCTCCCTGATATAAATAACCATAACCTAGCAGAGAGAATAAAATATACTTGATACAATTTTCTTTCTATTCTACAGATGAGCGAGAGAATGCCAGGAACCATTCCATTCAGGAGAAATCCAACTTGCTTAGAAATTTCAATTTGTGAGGAGGGAAGTGAGACTGATGCATTCTGGGAAGGTCAGTTGGGAGGGGGATTGACCGCTGCTTATTTGCATGGGGAATTTTTGAAAGATTCATATTTGACCTAGGGATGTTTAATAAGAATTATTGCTTAGACAAATCCACAGAAAGAAGGCATTTTATATTCCGGTTTTCTAAGTATGCTTCGTCAGGTATAATGGGAATACCACTATACTTTACAGCACCCAAAAGAGCTTGATTCTGTGGCATCGTGCGCGAACTGCTTAACTTTCGTTCCACTCTTCTTGTACTGTATGTGACCTGTGTCACAAAAAAGCTTGAATAAGATGAAGTTAAATACAAAGCATTTCATTCTATATAATACAAGTTTAGTGTGTTGACAGTATAAGTTTTGAGATACAAGTATAACTAGCTCTGTTCCTCATAGATAAAATGATTATTCCTAACAAAGCTGGAATATACCCCAGTGATAGTTGATGAAACTTAATCATTTGCCTCCAAATTCTGCTCTCTTAGTTTAAAGAATTAGACTCTATGTGGAGTCGTAAAATGTTAACTCATGTCAGCTGTATAAAGGCAAGCATTCCTAAATGACTATTATTTATTGTTCTGTGATGGCATTTCCTACATTTTCACATCACTCCATCTGATGTTGAGAGCCTGGATGAATTGCCTGACTAGTGGAATTAGTTCATTCCTTTATTCAATTCAATTTTGAATCTTTTTCCTCAGCTGTCGGAGTGAAAAGGAGAACCAGATATGAATGTTTACTAGATGTTTCCACAGAAACCAGAATTACTCGAGCATGGAATTTCACAATTGACAAAGAAACTTTTATTGCAAAACAATTGCAGTCAATGGAAGATGACTCTTTGTTCCCAATTGTTAAAGAACAATTATTCGAATTAGAAACTCCTTGTAAGTTGAATTGTTATCTAATTATTCTCCCTCTCCCATAAAATATTTTGTATTCAAAATTGAGATTCATATTTATCTATTTTACTGTTGTCCTGGGCACATGCTTGGACTTGTGAATCCAAACGGCTCAAGTTGATGACTTGCGACTTAAAACAGTAGATACTAGCGACTCAGGATTTTTTTTCAAAAGCCGAAAGTACGTACAGAGCATAAAAAAAACCTAAAGAAATTGCATTTCAGTGGGAGGGGGAACGGAAGTAATATTTATCGTGCAGCGTCACCTACAAGATTCCAGATGACAAACTTGACTTGAAACCCAAGATTTTAAGTTCGCAATCCTAGCACGATTTCCCAACTTAACAGTCTAAAACACTGAGTGGGCACCTAATCCCATGAATATACCATGCTTCAATTTTCCATCTTTACCATAACATAGTGTTTACATGTAAATTCTGCCCAATAAAAATTAAGTCTAATTCACAGGTTTAGTACTGATCGACAGCACCCACGGAACATTCCTCTGGCAGAATTGTGACAGCAAATCATTGAACGCTTCAGCGAAACGGAGATGGGACGTAATTCGCAGATTAGCCATTGAGACAACGATCAAATATTGCGAAGGTGAGAACATGCCTGGTTGCAAGACTTTATTTTCAGCTGCATATAAATCAGGGGTCTCAAACCCAATTTACTTAGGGGCCACTGGAGGCAGAGTCTGGGTGAGGGTGGGCCGCATCAGGTTTTTCACAATAAAAGCTTAATTTAAGGAATTCAAAAATCTCCTCAAATTTCTTTATTTTATTAAACACAAAACAAGTTACATGAATGTACAAATTAAGACTAAATAAAAAAATAACTGAAGATATTAATAATTAGTGATTGTTACGTCAAAATTCTGAGAACTTACATACAAACTATCATCCTGCGGGCCGCAATTGGCCCCCGAGCCCGAGTTTGATACCCCTGCTATAAATGAACTTCAGTTCTGTTTTCACTATCAAAACTGGCTCCAAACTAATTGTTTCTGTTACCGTCATTGTCATTTATATAACTCCACTAGTGTGTTTCTCTTCGAGGCATTTTCTCCCTTAACGAAACTCTTAGCAAACAGTCACTGATACACAAGAACTTTGGGTACTCCCTTAGTATGTGTACCAGGTTAGGGTTCGGCCATAATTTTATTCCAATTTTTTTTACTTTAGTTCTATTAAGAGTTTGGGGACAGTCTGTCTTAGCCGAGTGAATATCCCTCTGCCGATAGGTTTAAGTCCCTTTATACAACTTGGTGTAAAGTAACCAAACAAACCATGGATTTGTCATGATTCACTATGTTCTAGTTCGCATTGCCTACCTAATGTATTCCACCATGAATGATTGTTGCAAAGTTATAACTCTTATCTATTCACAGAATATGAAAGGGAAGAAGCCGTATTAATCGAAGCTGGTCTGGAACCTCAGTCTCTCACAAACGCTTTCCCGAGTTGGAAAACAAAAGAAAAGTCAGTGCTGGATAAATTGGTGAGTTGAATCAAATAAGAACTATTCAGGAGAGGTAAGCTGCTGAGAAGGAGACTTACTTGTGTCAAAAATCAAGGCAAAATAGCATAAGATTCTCCATGTTCATCTAGGGGGAAAGGAAAGGCGATAAGAAGGCTCAATGATAGTGTAGGATTTTCATGACAGAATAATATGGCGAAGCCACGCCCCCATCTCGTTACTACTTAGTTTATGTCGGGTTTGAAAATTCAGTAGTTAATACATAAAACGCTGCTGGATAAATTATAAAGAGATAAAGACGTACTCAAAACTTTTGTTAAACCCAAGATAGGGATCTTTTTATATCCTTTACCCTGAGTCTACGGTCCCAACCCTTTACCCTACTCAGAGTCTGTGGTTGATTGCTTGTGCTTGCTTCTTCATAAATGAAGAATGAAACACCTCGAAGGTTCATAGCCACAGCTTGCCGTCTGGTGCATTGTGCCAAGCATTAAGAATATGCTTGCCATCGCACCTCTCATTACCTCATGTGGGTTTGCAGGTGTGAATCCTATGGGGATAATCATGTACGAGAGAATTTCTGGACTTCTCATTGTCATACAGTGGTTCACATAACCGCTGGTCTGTTACAACTTCCATCAAGCTCATGCATCTGAAACAAATAACTGGCTAACTAATCCCATACCCGACATGGACTGGTAACTGGACGAACGGGCTGGGGTTCGCAATATGATTAAGCCGCTAACCTTTCCTCTCCTCCAGGATAAATATGTAAATCTACCATTCTATTCACAGATTACATCTAAACCTCAACCAGTGAGCAAAGTCCTGATGACATTGTCACGGCTGACGTATTCGATCGAGGAATTACGAGGACCTGATCTTCCAGATGGAGTAGACGCAAGTCATCTAGAATCGTATCTAACGAACACTGATTTTGAGAAATTGTTCAAAATGACGAAAAAAGAGTTTTACGAACTTCCTGTCTGGAAACAGATGAAAATCAGAAAAGAGAAAAACTTTTTTTAATTTTATTATGATGCAATAAAGTACTTATTATTTCACAAATTATTGAGCTTTGTGGCCAGAGTTTCCCGTACAAGGAAACCGGCTGGTATGAATTTTTTATGGGATATTCCACAAATTCTGTCCAAACAAGTCTGTAAAAAAGCTTCTAATGCAGTGGTTCTCAAACTTTTTAAGCCGAGCCCCATTTTGAAATTTATCAAGTCTCGTGCCCCACCTCAACTAACTAACAATAAGCTACAAATAACAGATAGTAAGGCGAAAGTTTTATTCGAAAAACTCGCTGAAAATACATGGATGGAACGTAAATAATGATCCAAAATAAGGCGGGTAAGATCAAATCTAACAAATATTTTTATTTAAATTAGCTTCATGCCCTTCAAAAATTGTCCACGCCCCCTGTTTGAGAACCACTGCTCTTATGAGAATTTTTGTTCCGGTTCACAGTTATACAAGAAGTCACTGATTATACAAAGGGTTGGGGTTTTTGAAAGAACCGACATTATAGCGTGCTTGATATATCACATGCTGGGTGGGTGGTATGTTATTAACTGCAAACGCAAATATTTTAGATTGTTACAAGTTTGTTAGATCCAGTTCCACTGATATCAGATGATCTATGATATGTTTTGAAATGATCTGTAAGCTTTCTGTTTCGACTGCATACTGAATTTACAACACCTTCAGTGGGGCATTACAGTGCAAGTGTAAAACTTTCCTCCGAAAATAATTTTTTCAAACTGAAATTTTATTGATTATTATCCTCGCTAAACATCGGGACTCTGCGACATTTTATTGAAAGGCTTTCCCACATCTTCGCTTTGTACAGGCAGACACAGGAAGCTAATAATTTTTAAAAATTGCAATATTTCCGGTTTGTCATCGCCTACATTATTTACATTTTGTTGAAGTTGGCTAGCCCGCTTTTTATTTTAGTGTGTGCAGCTTTTTCTCATTCTTTCACCTAATTCAATGATCGTACAATCAAATGCAAAGCCAGCTTCAAGTGCCTTATTCTGTGTTATTTCTAGCCTATGAGCCATAAATATATTATTGCAAAGCACCCTTACTTTTAAAAATTTGACCCAAAACTGCCAAATGTATCAGGAATATTGTTTCATAGTGGATTGATATGTTTAATTAAGCTTGCATTTCAAAAAGTTTCATCTGCCAAAATATGAAAAAATATTACTCTGACCGACACTCATGATTGGCCATTGTTGTGGAAGTGAACAAGGTAGTCAGATCTCACAGTACATTTGTTATTACAATATCAGTATATTTCCAACTCTCAAGATCCTCTCAAAAGTAATTCAACTCAAACCACCTATAACCAAATCAAATATTTAGTATTCTGGATACCTACTTAAATAATTTTTTCATATATGAAACATCAAATATATTCTGAAATGAGTCTGCTCCACAAACAATTGTGAATTCGTAGAAATCAAATTTGTTATGCAGAATAATTGAGATGAACTTTGTTTTAATTAGTATTCTCAACTTTAATCTGTCAGAAATTAACTAATTTTTTGGGAGAGATAAATGCTTAAAATGATTCTAAATTATTCCTGAAAACCAGAATTTATAACCAATTGCTCGTTTTTGACATCCTTGACGCAAACTTAACTTTTTTGAGAACTGTTCGAATATTTTCTCGACCTTTAACCCCAAATGTCTGATTGACTTGTTGTTGATTGGCCATTGTTGTGGAATTAAACAAGGAAGCCAATAATAATTTTTTTTGCCATTTTTTTATAACTAATTGCAAATGTATTCGATTCGTTTTAGACATCCTTGACGCAAACTTAACTTTTTTGAGAATTGTTCGAATATTTTCTCGACCTTTAACCCCAAATGTCTGATTGGCTTGTTGTTGATTGGCCATTGTTGTGGAATTAAACAAGGAAGCCAACAATAAACTTTTTTGCTATTTTTGTCTTTTAAGACTTGGATAGACATTACCTGCCTTTTTACCCCAAGTGTCATGATTGGCCATTGTTGTGGAAGTAAACAAGGAAGTCAATGATGGATTTTTTGTCTCTTTTTTTCATTTTTCTTTTGAGCATTTTCACCACAGTTTATAAGAATTATTGTGCACTGTAATTCGATTCTTTGATACTGGTAGAAAAATTTGGTAAATTCAACTTGAATCTCAAAGTCTATCAAGAACCCACACTGGCTTCAACGATATAAAAAAGAATTTGTGCTTGAAAATATGTTCGAATTGTTGTTTATCATAAAAGTTGCCATTTCGGTCATGGATTTCATGCTCCAAAAAAACAGTTTGGAAGGATTAATAATTTGGCTCTAAATTAAATCAGTTTGAATGATCCTGAAATAAACAACAAGTCCATGAAGTTTTAAATTTTTTTAAAATTACAAAGGGATTGTTTTGGACCTCACAGATGTATTATGTGAAGTAAAATTACTTGAACAATTACTGAATAAAAAACAACAAACCTGGTTAAGATATATTGAGAACTGACTTCATAACAAAATTGAAATTGTACTTCATGGACACCCTGTTCCGTTCACGCAAGCATACCTTACTCAAAATGACTTGACACCAAATTTTTCTGCCAGTGCATATATATATCAGCATAGTAACCTTGCATAGACTGCCATTATACATCCAGATGTGTTACTTGCCTTGGAATAGATGCTTCTGAGGTTCCAAGGCAGACAGACCTACAATGCTGGTAGTTATTATATATTAGTAAATATATATATACGAAAGAGAAATGAGTTTATTTGTTGAAGTAAACTGACGTATGAGATGCTTTAAGCATGGATCTATGTGTCTTGTCTATACAGCATGCAATACAACAGGGACAAACTGTACTCCCGTAGCATGTGCACCAGGTTAGGAGGGTTAGGTCATAATTTTATACCGATTTTCCTCATTTCAGTTCTATTACGATTCCAGGGACTGTCTGTGTTAGCCAAGTGAATATACTACCCCCTGCACATCATCCCTTTACACAACTTGATGTAAAATAAGCGAACAAAATTAGTTACCACCATGTTGGTGCACGTCTTGTATGGGTATTGTGGAATAGTGTGTTGGGCTTATTGTTGGCCACGTCTAAGGATTGATAGACACATCTGACTTGCATAAATCATTCAGGTCCCATGCCTTTTGCAAGTGCAGTAAGTAGTAGGCACATAATTGCATATGCCAAAGACTTGATGATAACATGCTGCAGGAGACATAAAGTATTTTCACTCCTAATGGAGCTTTTGACAAGAAGTTACCCAAAGAGCTACTGAACGGAATGTTTTAATTCTACATTGTCAAACTGACATTGAGGACATAGAAGCTATGTTTAACCTGATACGATATAGTTAGATACAAAGCCACGGCATTACGCATTAACTTTCGAAAACACATTTCATCTTTGAAAGACAAACAAATGATGGCAGTAATTGCTCTCCCAAATCAATCGCTATACTATTTTGGTATGGCAGCAGTGTATACCAGGTGATGCACACCTACTTTTGGTATGAGCGAAAGCTTCTATAGATCGATAAGCCTGGCACTAATCAAATAATTGCTCTCTCAAATTATTCAAAGGCAGTATTGCAACTTTAAATATATGAACAGATGTAATCTCTGACCTTTTTGATAGAGTAACAGTGTATATAGTATAATAACTGGTCGTTCATCTGAAAAGAAAAAATGGCATGGGAGCAAAACTTATCAAAATGCATACAGCGACAAGCGCTACTTGTCTTTTGGTATGAGCGAAAGCTTTTATCGGTATGTTAGCAAAACTTGACGCTGTCACAGTAAGAAACAAAATGTTTTGAAGATCGAATGTAGAAAGAATGGGTGACGCAGCCGAATGAGAAGGATAAATAAACTATGCCCACAGTTGGGTGGTTTGGCACAAACTGGTAGTTGAGATCGCCAAGACGAATGTGCACAAAAATACCTAACACTAACGGACTTCTGTCAGATGTCCTAAATGACGTCAGCCCCTGTTACACCTAAGATCTATTCCCGCCCAATCTTTTAAAGACGCTCAAATTTCTTGAGGGTTTTACAGGGTGCTCTTCTGTTCAGAAGCAAATAGATTCTAAACAGACACTTTTTGGAGAGATGGACAAGAATCCATTCCCATATCTGTCCTATCCATTCTATAAATCATATAGTGAGGCCTGGTAACATGATGAGATCTGTCATATTCTCCTAGTTTAATACCAAAGTGCATGTCGGCCTTCACCAGTTACTAATTATCTTATGTTGAAGTTTATTTGAAAACAAAATCACAGAATTGGACAAATAATACTGCAAGATTGAATGTAAATTACCGATGCAGAATTCCACTAAATGGGTCGCCAACCAGATAGGGTTTTGCTAGATGTATCAGCAGGAGGTAGTTCTTACGATCTATCACAAATGTGGAATCAGGGAAAATTTACACCTGACTTTTAAGCCTCCAAGCTGTTAAAAACGACTCCACAACTACTCCATTAATGTTCATTTCAAAGCTTTAGCAATCTAACTCGCTATTAGTCAAGAATTTGGATTTCAGTTACGCCATTGAACCTTGAAATTGCTAATCCAGAGCTTGATATATGACTCCCATTCAAAAAATATCTATCGGTGATTTTGTATTCAACACAGCAGAAATAGATGTGAAATTAAATTGGCCGGGAGTATAGGCAGAAGTTTCAGGTTGGGAATCTACAATTAGGGTATTTGCTGTTCTGTAAGACCAGGGCTTTATCTAGCAGATGGTGATTTCATCAAAAAAACTTTTCCCAATATTTATCGCATTGAGTGAAATTCTGCATGGATAAGTAAGGCTTATATGAAGAAATGCATAAAATAAATAAATAATGTGCAAGAAAACCAGGCATAGGACAACAATGTACTACAAAAGACAACATTAATATTGGCTAAAACAAGTTAGAAACAAGAGGGATCTGCAATATTTTGAGAAGCAACTTCAGATTGGGCCTAACGGCCGGAGATGCGAACTTCAACCATCTTAATCTTAAGGGCATTATAGGCCTGACTGAAATAATGTCAGCCCTTCCAAAAAGTAGGATATGATTAAGTCATCTTACTAACTTTCATCGGTGCTCCCGAAGTATGCGAACCAAGATGGCGGACATCGGAACGTAACATGGCTAACAGGTTAGGGTTAGGCGATAATTTTTTTCCAATTTTCCTTATTTTAGTCCTATTATTAGTTCGGAGACTAGCCAAGAGCCTCCCGTAGTATTTATACCTAAAATTATGGCCTAACCCTAACCTAGTACACATATTACATTCCGATGTCCGCCATCTTGGTTCGCATACTTCGGGAGCCCGCTTTCATCTCCCCTGGGATATATATGAAAATCACCAAGAGTTTACATTAACTAAAACTTTGTTGATAATTTAGCAATCAAATTAATATCAAACTAAAACTTATTATGGACGGGTTGCAACAACAATGGAAGGGAATAATTAACATTGCCTCATAGTGCAACAAGTAAATTCAAGCAGGGTACAGGGCAGCTCAATAGTATGATAACAGTATTGATATATTATATTGCTACAAACCAACTTTTGGGCCACCATGGACAACAAACCATAAGTAAGATTTTAAATAATGATTCCTGTAAAGAGATCGCAGAGGTTTGCGGTGAGTGAGTCACACCAGTTCAGAGTTCAACAAGCAAATGGACAAGATATTGATACAAACAGGAAAAGCAAACAGGCAATCATTTCTTCGACAGGTCAACAAGCAATTTCTCTTAAATTTCCATCCAAATGGTAACAAGACCATATATAGATTAAACAATATTGGGATAAACAAGCCACAACAGAACTTGAGGAGGAAAATGGCACACAATAATCGCAGCATTTGAAAATAATATTGACCAATTCTCAACAAACCCGGGATAAGAACAAAAAAAATTTGCTAACAACTCAACAAGCGGTTTGAAGTGACATGCAGGAGTGGCCAGCATAATAGCCTTGCAGTTCGAGGCCTCAGCTTAACTGAAGCTTCTTATTATTCTTGTGTTAATAGTGTAAAATTTCCTATATTTATTCCAAGAGCACAGGAATACCAATAAATATATATAGTACAAATTACAGCCCTTCCACTATGAAGTCCATGCATCTGAAATTAATAACTGATAAATAAGAGTTAACGTTTAAAAGCCCCCCGTTTAGCGGCTTCTGTTATGAAATATCTCATGACATCTAGTGTTAGGGCTTGAAAGTTGTCAGTCTGCACGATCTGTGATGTGTGGTTCAGGCAGTACTGAAAGCAATATTCCTCGAGATCCTGGCAAATAGAAAGCAGGGTTAGATTATCGGCAAATAGAGGCAAAGTGTACGGCAGGGGTCGGCAGCCTACGGCCCGCGGGCCGGAGTATTGGAGTAATATAATCCGGCCGGCGACGATTCACAGAATTATAGTAATAAAACAGCTGTTTTGGCGATTATATTCTTTAGCTAACAGAATTTCTTTTGCTACACGTGCAGACTAAATTATATTATAACCTAATAAGTATATATAATTCACAATTACTCATTTAATGAGACTATAATTTAATTATAATTAGACAAATGGCAACAAAACGCAGAAAAGTTGAGGCCAAGTGCAAAGGGTTCAATGGCGCCGCAAATATTCAAATGGAATTTTTTGAGATGCAATACAATGAGGAAATAAATCTAAATTCTATAAGAGAGATGTATCACTGCTTGATTTTATTATAAAAAATATCATCCGTTCGGTTTTCAACTTCCTTAAAATATGTGCGGCCCGCCAATGACTTGCAACCCTTAATTTTGGCCCGCGAGCAACAAAAGGTGGCCACTCCCTGGTGTACGGGTTAGAAATGAGATTCCGAATAAAACGACTCTAGCTCTAGTAAGGATGCATAAGCGTAGGCAGGGGCGTGAGGGGCCATGCCCATCCATCGAAAAAATTAATACGCCTTTTTCAACGCCATTTTACCTTATTCTTGAACGATTTACTGAGAACTGGCGCAACTCACCTTAGCCTGGTACTTGATTGCCGCAGCAAACAAAATGGCTGAATTCTCAACCGAGATTCCTTCCTTTATTAACTTCTCACATTGTTGCTTCAGACCTGCCTCACAATATGCAGTTGCCAGATCTAAGAGACCTGGAAGGGTAGTTTTAGCTCAATTTAGTCGTCGAGATTAATGGTGCACGGTTGCGGAATACAAATAACAAACAGCACTAAACATTGGCAATTTAAAATCTCAACTCCCCACAGTAAGGTTTACTTTGTAGTTTTGTTATTACTTATCGATCTCGATCGGTAAGTATGTTGATAGGTATTTGTCTGTTTGTTTGTCTGTTAGACACTTTCGTATGTTACGCGATATCTCATGAAAGCGAGGTTGAATCTGCTCCAAATTTTGCACGTGTATTCATCTCATTTCGGACCAGAAGCCTATTGATTTCGGATGGATTATGTCATATAATTAGTGAGTTATAAATTAATTAGTGATGGGACACGTGGTGTTGCTATTGAGTCAGAGCAAAGGAATCGAAACCGCAGTTTCTGTTTTGGGAAATCCTCTATCTTTCAATCGATAAACCAGCGGTCTCCAATCGCTATCTAGTGTTTTGTTTGCCAAGTAACATAGTAAAATTCATGGCTATTAGAGATCACTAACCAGAGTCATCAGATTATATTTGAATAACTCTCAAACCGACAAACGGAGTATTCTACATTTCAGTTGGACTATACAAAGCATAGAACTTTACCGACATGGAATGGTAACCGGACCAGAGGCCGTGGTTCGCCGTATGGTTAAGCCAATTTATAGGCTTTCCCCCTGGATAAATATGTAAATCCTTCACTATCCAAAGTTGATCAGGTTGTGGAGCGAGTATTGAGAGAGCTCTGCTTTCCACTTAAAATATTTCACTACTAGTCATGATAGGGTGGCAAACTATTCATGATAGGGTGGCGCGCATACCTGCTGGACAACTTCCTCCACCATCATATCTATGAATCTGAAACGAATAACTGGCTAACTTATCCTATATCCGAATTGGACTGGTATACGACTGAGATGCCGTGGTTTGCCATATGATTAGGCCATCTAATCAGCTTTTCTCTCCCCGGGATAAATATAAAACTCGAGTACTCACCAATGGCATCCTCAGGTGGAAGTTCCACAGTGTCAGTGTAAAGCCATTTCAAGAAAGAATAAACGACAGGGAATGAGTAGCCGATGATTTCTACCTTGTCTTGAGTGTTCTCGTCCCAGTGAGATTGGAACATGCGACGGAAATAATCACATCTGTGTAAGGAGAGTCAAATTAGCATTTTTCAAAAATAATTGTAGGTTATGCTTAATAACCAGAAAGGATTCAGTCCTCATGAGAGTAGGTTCATTGTGGTGAGATGCCAAAGTGGTTAGAGTTTTGGACTTAACTGTGTTTAGTTGAAATTAATCGTCTCAGATTCGACCAGGTTGGAGTCCAAAACTCCAATGAGAGCATTTGCTCTCAAACTGGGGTCCGCGGTCGGTTAGAGGCGCAAAGCGATTTTAGGGGGACCGCGAGACAGCTTCAACTTCGGCACAGAAGCATTTTGATTTGAAGTAAAATTTCAGTGTCATGCTTTCACAGTGTTCTTCCAAAGCACGACACGCTCTACTAGTGGAAGCCAAGCAGTCTCATTGAACTGTTTTGAAGTCATTAAATAGATGAATGCTTGATATACCGCGTTGCTACTTGCTTTCATTTCTTTGGTGAACCTCAGGTCATCAGAAAAATTGCAAGGGGACCGTTATGCATAATTTTTCAAAAAGTTTGAGAACCACTGGGTTAGAGTTTTGGACCCAACTGTGTTTAGTTGAAAATTAATCGTCTCAGATTTGACCAGGTGCAATGCCATGGTAGACAATGCCGCCCTGCTGTTTTATATAGAAATGCTACTCTGCACTAATGAACACCTTGTTATCACAACTGTGAACAAACAAACCTTATCTTCAGCAGAGCTTTGTGAACATAAATTACTTTCCCGTCCGCAACAATTCTGAGGTCAGAGGTCGTTTCATCGTTGAATGCACATGCTATGCTCTGTTGAACAGAAGGTTCAGATTCTTTGCTAAGAACCATGGGACGCCAGCTCACCTAAGAAATAAAAAAACATTGATAGTAATTCCAAAATTGCACTTGCCATTGCAAAAGGTCAGCTTCTGCCCAGTATTTGAACAAGTAAGCTCTAATACAACAAGAGTCTCTCCACCTATGCTGACCAAGTAAACATTTTCAAATTCTAATTTTTTACAACTTAAGCCACTTCATATGGGATGTTTCTTAAGCAAAAAATGTTGTTTTGTTGGACTTTGGCCCCAAATTTAAACAAAAAAAAGAACGAGATAACAATCGGAAACCGCCGGCTTATCGATCTTCCGCATGTTCAATATTTTACTCGACAATTTGAGACAATACACCTGTCATCACCAACCCCACAAAGTCGAGGCGGCGTGTAGCCAAAATACCTAAACGCTCCACATCGCAGACAGGGCATTGTTTTGCACACAATCGTTTCAATCGTTTGCAGCAACGAAAGTTGGGGGATCCCCCAAAACAGAAACTGCGGTTTCAATTCTTTCACTCTGACCCAATAGCTCCGTCATGTGTCCCATCACTTATTAATTAATACCTCTCTAATTAAACGACATAATTCCTCCAAAATGAACAGGCTTCTGGTCCGAGATATGATGACTGCACATGCATTATTTGAAGCAGATTTAACCTCGCTTTTGTGAGATATCGTGTAACATACGAAAGTGAAACAAACAGACAAATATCTATCAACATACTTACCGATCGAGATCGATAAGTAATGAAATTCAAATACTCACAGGAGGAGAACTGAAGCCAGCAAACACGGCATCAACACTGGAAAAATCAGTTAGGATCGGTTGAGCGGTCGATTGCATTCGAAGTTGCCCCCACATGTAGACCTGAGATATTTTGTGGAATTAAATGTTAAACTTATGTTCTAATTTAATTTTTGTGCAGGTGATCGTCATCCTGGGATAACTGTGCTCTGTTTCCCACTTTTACTTTTTAGCTGAACAATGACAACACAGCATAATTAGGGTGAAGCCACTGGTTACTTTTTGAGTACAAATACTGCCATGCATGTCATAGAGCAGTGGTTCTTAAAGTATGGGTCGCGACCCAAACATGGGTCGCGAAAGGTTTAAAAATGGGTCGCGACAAGGTCGTCAATGCAAGGGCAATCTAAGAAGGACGAATTTTCAGCTTTCCCAATGTTTCAATTTAGCTTCTAAACTCTGGTATTTAAAAATAATGAAATATAAAATTTCATTCACGGAAAGAACTGTCTTGAGCTCATTGTTACATCACGATTCTGATATGCCAGTCCTGTGTATTATTTTTATGGTATCGGTAACCATGCACGTCGCTTGTCGTTGTGTCGACCGCGTGGAATGTTGTCTCAGTGGATTAAAATAACCAAAAATGGGTGTCTTTTTGGTAATGTAAATTGTAATAGACGACGCAATGAAAAAGCTCACTTCTCGACATTAGATTATTCACTATATATAGAGAAAATGTGACTTCATCTCGAGGCACCATTTACCGCGAACGAAGCAGTGTGTGCACATTTGATGAGTAAAAAGTTGTATATTGCGAGAGATACCGAAGGCCAGCTAGGATGTCGTGTTTGCGACGGACAGCGGACGCCTTTTCTGCTACAATTCGCGACAAGGCACTCGTGCGAGCGAGGATATTCGGCACTGACGGTTATCAAAACTAAGCTCGCAATCGCCTCGATACCCGTGACAACTTGCGTATTGCGTTAAGTAAAATAGAGCTGTGTATTGAAGATATAATGAAAAGGAAATTTCAGTTTCATCAATCTCACTGAGTCAATGGACTGTTTCTAATAAATAGTTGTCCGTATTTGAGTCAAAAAGTACTAACATTAAAAAAACATTTTGCGTTATTTAGGATTGGGTCGCGAGTATTCATAAAACTCGGATTTGGGCCGCGCTCGAAAAAGTTTAAGAACCACTGTCATAGAGCGTCAGTACTTTGGTATGGCAGAGGCTACATGTGTCTTAAGTTTGACTTAATATTCTGTTATTTGCGGTGAAAATTCAACCGCAGTGATATTGAATGACTGGATAACTATATCTCATACCCAACATTAACCAGAAATCAGATGAGAGGCTGTGGTTAGTTATATGATGGAGCCATCGTATCGAATTCCCTCTCCCCCGTGAAAGGAATACAGATTTTTATTCTCATCCAATTGATGTTTAATAGTCCCATTCTCCCTAATGTTTTAGAATCCACATTCCACAGTCTTCACTCCAAAAATGCTCTGAATCAAATTTTAATAACAAAAACTTCGCCGCAAGCCTTTTTCAATAGACTGTTATTAAGAACGCTTAGTAAACGTATAAGCAGCCAGTATTACCTAACGAATGGATTATAATTCATAAAGACTGGCTGAGACCCTTTCCAATTAAATGTAAAACAATGTAAACAAATTCAATCTTACCTGACCATGCTGGTTCTGAGCAGAAGATGAATGCGAATAATGTGAGGCAGCCACCAAAACAACTCGACCTACACTGGAGGCAACCTGGAATAGATTGAAGCAAATAGTCAAAGTCCTGAGCACTGGATCTTATTTCAATTAATGGTAAATTGATTTTAATTAATTTAAATTAAGAGTCAAGCATTAACATGAATATGGCTACTATGGCTCATCATGCAACTGAGCCCACTTTTCAAGAAAATTTGCTTAATAAAGGGAGGTAAAACACACTCACTCAAAAATAAACGAGTATCATCTCTGGGCAAAGTTGCGGGGAATGAAATGAATAAAGTTACTGAAACTATATACAATTATGGTGGTGCATTATGTGTACTTACCCAGAAGTAAAGGAGACTCATCTCTGAGTGGAGATATGGGCACTCAGTCATAAGTGAAGGAGACTCATCTCTGAGTGGAGTTATGGGTACTCACTCAGAAGTAAAGAAGACCTATCTTGGATATATGGATGAGTTACAAAGTTATGAGCAATCACTGGAATGCCAAGAGATACTAAAACTATGAAGAACTATGGCGGCGCATCATATGCGAGATAATATTGAGCGCATCACCCTTCCCCTCTCAAAACCAAAAATAAATCCAACCTGAATAGGTGTAACTGCATTTGCTTTATTCCCGGATCCCAGTTGTCCATAACTGTTGGCTCCCCATCCATACACGATACCTTCATCTGATAGGGCCAGGGTGTGGGCGTAACCACATACAACCTGACGATAAAACAGTTTATTATTGTTTTTCACCAATCGAACGAAATTTCATGGCAACTATAAGAATCATCAAATAAAAAAAATTACTGGCAATGTTGAGTTCTATGTTTTGTTCCAAATTTGTTCCAAAATAAAACAGTCGATATCGAAAATACTGTTTCAGGATATATTTAGAATAACAGATTGACATCAACATAGAGTAACATGTTAAAGTATATTTGGAAAAACGAATTGCTGTTAAGATACAGTAATATTGCTGAATTTAGTTTTTAAATTTCATGCTGGAATCCAATTTAGAACATATTGTATATCGCATGTTTCAATTTTTAAAAATAATTTGGTTTGTTCAATATTATCAAAGTCAATCTGGTCCCACACCTTTTTATTAGGTGTAAGTATTTTGGAAATCTAATTTCTTGAATATACAATAGTTTTTCCAATTCCTCAGATAAGCTGGACCCAATTTGAGATATATGTTGGATATTTCATGCATTTCTATCCTCCTACCTGAACAATAACAACATTCTGTAATGCAGCGATTCTGCAAGGATTCGTCTGGTTCACATTATTCCCGACTCCCAACTGTCCATTACCGTTGTACCCCCAGGAATACACTTCGCCGTTATCGGTGACTGCTAGTGAAGAAGTCTGAAATAAAAACATTTATGTTTCATATTTATCTTTTTAATTGTTTTCATGTATTTCCTTCAAACAAGGCTTTAGAATCCACCGGAATGCGAGAAGCTGGTTTGGCATTGCCTACTAAATCTAATCATTACACACTGGGTCCAGGGGTGAGCAAGGTTTTCGGACAAGGGGGGGGGGGGAGGAGTTTGCCCATCTAGACTGACGGGCCATGTAAGTGTGTGATGTAAGAGGTTACATTTCAAGAACAATATTTACAGTGTTACAAAAGCAAAAGGAGAAAACAATAAGCCATGTATTGAAAATAAATTTAATGCTATCCCAACAAAATTTGGTATATAGTTTGGCTGCGGCAGCATCAGGCAGGCCAGATTTGGCTCGCGGGCTGTAGTTTGCCCATGTCTGGGGCATACAATGGTCAGTTACTACAGCATTCTCTATAATTAAGGAACAGGTATTTGGAACAAATACCTATTTAACTAATCCAATGGACTGGTAACCAGATGAGAGGGTATTATTTTCCGTTTGCTCAAACCATTTTTCATCTTTCCTTTCCTTGAGTAAATGCTAAAATAAAATATTCTATTTATCCTGCCACATACCTGCCCACAAGCAATATGGATGATTCTTTTATTCCCGATGCAAGCGTTCACTTTACGAGGGGTTGTTTGATTTGACGTTGAACCTGACCCAATCTGATAAGAAGAATCAAGGTGTTTTATTTTACAGTCTCTGACAAAAGCAAACAAAAAAAGTAAAAAAGGTTATGTACCGGGAAATCGGATGAAATCTATATTGAAGCACACAATTCTCATCATCCACGCAAAGTAATTGATATATTAGAGTTTGGGACAGAAAATATGTCATAAACTGAATGATACTCATTGCATTTCATTGATTCGAACATTCTATTACAGAAGACATGCGCAAAAATGTCACACAAGCTCAAACATTTTAGTATCTCTGAATCACCCACCGCACACAATTTCCATCAACTACACATTGATATATTGAAGTTTGGACCAGAAAATCAGTCCAAATTCCAATTAACTGTGAATTTTATCACATTGTTGTCAAAAATTCAATCAATTTGATTTTCTCGAAGGTTCAGAGTTGGAGTCAAGAGTCAAAATCTTTCTATCTCTGAGTCGGGAATCGATTCGATTGTGAGTTTTCTCTGAATTCACGGCGTTGATGTATGATTAAAATAACTTACACCCACCTGTCCGCAGTTATTGTACCCCCATGCGTACACTTCTCCATCATCTGTTAGCACCATCGAGTGGTGACTTCCACAAGCAATACCGACAACTTTCCGACTGAGATTCCGAGCCAGCATGGTCGGGGTAAGACCGGGAGTCGAACCCCCGTTCCCCAACTGCATGTAACTGTTGTGACCCCAACTGTATACTTCACCCTCTGTAACACAAAATGAAAATGGATTAGATTAGTACAGCAGTATGAAACTAGAATCCATAAGCTTTTTCCTCTAAATTCGTGTTCCATCAATTCTTACTGAACGGAGACGCAAAGTTATTGAACATGGTAGATCAACGGTGTACAACAGGTGACCCGCCCATTTAGTGCGTCCTCTGTCAATACTCAGATTTCTCCCCTAAATACTAAATCGACAGTTTATGTTAAAAAAGACACTCACATGGGTAAAATACACGTTTTTTGCTATTGTCACTGCATTAAATCTTTCACCGTTTTGTCGTTTAGATGCCTGAAGTTGGGTATATGGCTCCCAACAAAAAATGTTGCACACCCCTGCGGCAGGCTATTGACATGCAAGGAAATATCATTCAACTCACTAAAATGAATCAAAACTTCCTTGAGTTGCTTATTGCACAGAAAAAGTTGGTAAGACAAGACAAAACAGTAAAAAGCTGGATTCAATTTCTAAATTGGCATTTTATTTTGTTTTCATGCAACGCATGCCCTTCCCATACTGTATCACAAGTCACAGGTAATTGCAGCTGCTCACAATTTCACTCTTGAGCAAGATTTTTCTCACATAGACTGTGTGCCTGAAATTCTGTTTTAAGCGATTTCCTCTCAAAAATAGAAAGCATTCAAAAAATACCTATCAGTTTCAAAATTTATCAGGCAGTTACTCGTGCACAAAATTACAATAACAAGGCTCAAAATGAAAAAATTCTTGGTAAATTACCGCCGTTGCCAAGTTGAGAGAGAGAGTTTTCACCCCAGATATAAACGTCATGATCTGGAGAAGGAAGGAATGAGAAGAATGGAAGATAGGTGAATGGTGAAAATAATGCAGGAACACATGAAAAAATGAAAGATAATGAATAGATGGAAAGAGTAAAAGAAAGGGTGGAACGATAAAGAATGAATTAAGAATGGATGAAAAGCGAGAGCAAAAAAATAATAAAAGAAAACGAATGAATGGTGAAAAATCACGAAAATTTTTTGTGTCAAGTTCCGTGATATGAGCAAGTAACATAAGAACTGTAAGAGTTGCCAATCCTACCGAACAAGTGTCATAAAAGTGTCATCTCAAATGCTTGTGGCCTATCCTTACACGCCAAAAGCCTTTTTCAGTGTAAATTTACTAAAACTAGATTGTTCAGAACTATAAGAATAAAGTTAGAAATCATACTGCAGAAGCTGCTAATCCTGCACTGACAAAAAACAACAATATTTCTACACATGTATGTTGATTAGAGTAGCGAGCGCCCAACTACCTTCTATGCGTGGTTCTGTATTCACCGACTGCAAGAAAGCATGGTTTTGTGTTGGTGGATTCGTGAATCTGACTTTGGCCAGCGGAATGTCACAGAATGAAAATTGTGAAACAATGATGCAAGATATTCAAAACATTTAATACAGTGTTTCTAAACTTATTACTTCTGCTAGTCGATTACAGTTGCGTGCACCTAACTGTGCTTTTCTTTTCTTTCTGTCTTTGTGTTAGTGGATATGTATTCAATGACTGTAAGGATGCTGTAGCGTGCTGTAAGGATGCTGTAGGTGAATTTATGAAACTGACTTTGGTCAGACGGAACGTTACAGAATAAAATTTATGAAGATGTGACCTCTAACTTGTCCAGTGTCTTGTTCATGATAAATTTATTGAATTAACTCACCATGAGTCAACACTAGGACATGAGGCCCGGCTCCTGCGGCAATGTCGATGAGTTTCTTTCCTTCTAATAATTCAATACGGCGTGGCGCTAGAGAGCTCTGTGTGTCACCGACCCCCAGACATCCACTCGTGTTCGTCCCCATGCCATAAACCTAAAAGTAAAAGAGTAGATTTCATTTTATTTCTCAAAAATTTTGCCACCTGGTCTGGAGGGCCATGTAATTGTGAGATAAAAAGTTACATTTTATGAATAATATTCAGTGTTACAAAAGTAAATGCAAAAAACAATAAGCCTCGTGCAAAAACTAAATTTAATCGTAATCTCAACAAATTCCTCAAGCCATTTTCAGCTAAAACATCAAAATTTGGCCCGGATTCGGCCCGCGGGCCATAGTTTGCCCATGCCAGAGTTAGCCAGTCAACTCTGTATCTAATGCTTTACACCAGGGGTGTGCAACACAAGAGCTCCAGATAACTGGGTGAAACATAGGCTTTCCTGTAGGTATAGGCACAAAAATTTTGGTTGTTCATTGTGCACAAGCTAGCCATTGTAACATCACAGGCATAGATAATAAATTGAACTCAGGTATAGGTTTGCAACAAAAAAGAATTTGAATTACTCGCACGTACCAGATTAAACTAAATTAAAAACTCAAGAGCTGCTCACTATTCAAAAATGGCACTTCTTTGGGGCCGCATAATTTCATTTCATTGTGGGCCGCATTTGGCCTGCGGGATGAAGGTGGCACACCCCTGCTTTACATGACCAGGGATGGGTAGAAAAGGTGATGCGTCTCATACATTTATTATTATGGCCTCAAAGCAAGCAATATCTTATCTAATCACCTTATCATCCGTGGTTGTAAAGATAACTTCAGCAGCAGCCTGGCTGAATATATAAACCAACTTGACCTTTGACCTCAGTTCCGGTTCAACGAGATTCAAAACAGGCCACAGGGTTAGATCTCCAGTTTTCCACTGACTGTTGACTTGTGAAGGTCTTTTCTGGGGGGATTTTAATAAAATTTGTCCGTCTCCCCCCATTTCTTCCTCCTCAGAGTCAGTTGAAATTTTTGCTGCTGCCATCTAGTGTTTAATATAATAGAACTGAAATAGAATTTTAGATAAAATTTCTAAATCTGTTTTGATTCTGTCAATTTCAATAGCAGAATTGTAGTGAATATTTTTTCATTAAATTTTCTCAAACCAAGGTTATGAGAGAGATGGTGAACTTTTATGATGGGATATTTCACACAATCACTCGATTCAATGTGTATCGTGAGTGATTGATGAAGTATAACTCGGCAGAATAAATCGCTATTATAACAGGTATATTTATTCTGCCATCATCATGTCAATAAAAATTGTCTTGTCTAACAAAATAACAGTGCAAGAAGTGATAAAACATTGCGCGACCGAGTAAGTTATTCCTAAATAATAGTAGATATTTGGGTCTAGTGTAGATTCGGGGTCTCATGTAGTTTCGTACCCAACATACTTCTAGCGGGCGTAGCACAACAACTTTTTGACATATCAATCCTAACCCTCACCTGACTATGCCACCCAAAAATTACGTCTCTACGACGTCACAGTGGCGTAATAGAGACCTTCAAACTATATGAACTGTCATCCAAGACGCCCACGTCTGCGCACCCGAAATCGAAAGGCTATTTCTCTCGTTTTTCACGTCACGACGATCCCAATATGAGAGAGACCCCTGACGTTAGTAAGTTCTTTATCGTCGGCGCCGATGCCATTTCAGACGATAGTACGTATATTTGACAAGCTCTATGACGTGATTGTGATGTCGTAGTGACGTAATTTTTGGATGGCATAGTCAGGTGGGGGTTAGGATTGATATGTCCGAAAATCGTGATGCTACGCCCACTAGAAGTATGTTAGGTAAGAATCTACACGAGACCCTAGATTCGTACCTAAAATACTTCTAGCGGAAGTAGCATAACAATTTTTGCATAAGTCAATCTTAACCCCCACCTGACTGTGTCATACAAAAACGTCAAAACGACGTCACAGTGATATAATAAAGCCATTCAAACTATACAAACTGTCATCCAAGGCACGCAGATGATCGCCCGAAATCGAGCAACTTTTTCTGTTGTTTTCTCATTGCAACGATCCCTATAAGAGAGAGATCGCTGCCGTTAGTGAGTTCCTTATCGTCAGCAGAAGCCATTTCAGGCCATCGTAGGTATACTTTGGCAAGCTCTATGACGGGGTTGTGACGTCATAGTGACATAATTTTTGGATGAAATAGTCAGGTGGGGGTTAGGATTGACATATACAAAAATGTTATGCTAAGCCCACTAGAAGTACGAAACTACACGAGACCCGATATTTCTGCAAGCATTAATTCCATACAAGATTGTGCAAGAGGTAAACAGCCTGACTGAATTAAAAGTCTGCGAGGGCAGAATAAATTACTATCATTAATGTAGGGCAGATAAGTTTACTTCTAATATCTCAAGAAGTTGATCTCTCGCTAGGTTATCATCTTATCTCCCACTATTTGCTAAACTTTTTTTCAGATTCTGTTTATCCTAGGTTAGAAAAAGTTACTATGTATGTATGTTTATTTGCTGCCTCAAAAATGTGACAGTATCTGCATAATAGGTAAACGATATAAAAGAGTTAGGAGTTACTAAGTTGGGGGTACTATCTTGTTATCCATAGATCCACACAATGTCCAAGAAAAGGTGAATTTAATGAAGTAAATAAATTTTTTTTGACTCTGTAATCAGCATAACAGACAATAAAATAATTGATAAAAACATTTAAATTGGATTTAGTGAATATAGAATCAAGAGCAAACAAAACCTGCCTAGCCACCTATTTTCTGATCCGTTCTACGATTAGGCTAACATCATGATCAATTATGTTCTGTCTAAAAAAAAGCAATAAAGGTGGGATAGTCTGATAGAAAACACACCATCCTGCCTGCTTAATATCAAATACCAGCATTTTACGAAGAACGACAGACAGACGTGATCTGGTAAGCTAATCATTCAAAGTGCGAGGATTTTATCACGTTTATGACGCCGCAATGCTCTTTATGTGTCACAATTAATCAGCTGATTGATGACACGCAATAACCACATTGTCCACATACCGGTGGAGACATACCGGTAATGTAATATGTTCCGGTAACGTTACCACACTTTATTAGACTCTTAAAACAAGACTAGATACACTCATATTGGAGTAAGCTATTCCTGGGTGCACATGGCCACATTTACAGACGGGAATCCCCGAATTTAAAAAAAGATAATCGCTAAACTGACCGAACGAATGCTCGTCATTATCGGAGGCTGTTGTTGGGGAAACCCCCAAATGAATGCGGACAAATTGGACAAATGTAAATCAAATGACACCTAGTGACGGCCAGAATTATCATACTTATCTTTGAGGAAAGGAAGGTGGATGAGACAGCTCAATCCTATTGCGAATTACAATCTAGCTTGTGCGTAAAAATAGTTGATTTAACTGGTTTTAGATGCACGGATTTAGATGGCGGAGCATGGTCACAAACGGTCAAGGGTTACGAGAACCACGCTGCCACAGAAAAGAGTTCTGAATTTAGGATAGGATGGACCTTTCCCCGAGCATCGACTTCCTTGTTTATTCCGTGACGTTGGCCAATCAGCAAGATGCAAAAAGTGACGTAACAATGCCCCCTTTTCGCATCCGCTCAGACACTTTTCTCACTCAGACAGATTTTCAAGCGTGGTTGTAAACATTACCTCGTTTTCGCATTTTTGAACTCTATTCGTTAGTTTCCAGTTGTGTTTCGGAAACTTGAATAAAAATCAGATAATTCAATGATCACTCTGTCTTCTTAGGAGTTTTAATTTAATTGCAGTAATAAAAATTAGTATAGAAATAGCTGTGATAGACTAGCCTGAAATTCTTTACCGGTACTTTTAAAAAACAGATTGTTGTGTGCGATGAATCCTAATGATGGTTTGAAACACATACCCCATTTTACAGGCGCCAACTCGCAAAAGCACTCCTAAAATAGCCCTGAAAATTCTGCAAGGGTCAAGTATAGGAAGAATTTTCCGGGGGTCAAAGGTCGGGGAAAGGTCCATAGGATTTACATATTTATCTCGGGGGAAAGGAAAGTCAATAAGACGGCTTAATCATATGGGGAACCACGGCCTTACGTCCGGTTACCAGTCCAGGTCGGATATGGAATTAGTTAGCCAGTTGTTTGTTTTCGGATGCAGGTACTTGATGGTCGAGGAAGCCGTAACCGACCAGCGGTTACGTGAACCACCTTACGGCGGCGAGGAGTCCAGCAATCCGCTCGCACATAATCATCTCCGCATGAAAATCGAACCTGCATACCCACGCAAGGTATCCAGAGATGCGGTGGCAAGCGTATTCCTAACGCTTAGCACGATGCGCCACACCGCCGAGCCAATTTCTCGCGTATAATGTGAATCAGCAATGGGTGCCGCGCGTATTCTTAACGATTTTTGCGGCGCATGAACCGGTGACATTTGCAAAACTCCAAACCCCACAACTTCGCTTTTTCAATGGTAATCATTGTACGTGCTGGACAAAAAAGGGGCTACATTTGAAATATCGTGGGCTAGACCTGACATGGGTAAACTACGGTACGCGGGCCAAATCCATAACAACCAGGTAAAATTTTTGCTGCCAATGGGTAATTCAATCTGGGCTGCTTCATGCTGCCACAACCAAACTAAAGCCAAATGTTGATGTTAAGCTAAAAAATATCTCAAGGGGTTAGTTGAGATTGAGGTTGAATTTAGTTTGGGCACGAGGCTCATTGCTTTTCACTTTTGCTTTTGCAACAATGTAAATATTGTTTATAAAGCGTAACTTTTTACGTCAAGCTTACGTGTCCCGCCAGTCTAGGTGGAAAAAATTTTTGGCCGTGGCCCAAAAACCTCGCCCATCATGGCCTAGAGTCCTAGACGGTGAGTATTCTCGGACCCCAGGGTTCACTTAGAATTCTCTAATCTGCTTTATCTCACTCTGAGCCCAAATATAATGTCATGCACAGTTGTCCCGCCCAGTCTGGAATGATGATAATTTCTGCTTAATATTAAAGAGAGGAATGTTGAGTATATTGCAACCATATAATGAGCCGCGATATTTAGGGTGGATTTTCTACCTATACCCGGGAAAAAGAAAATTATTATTTGTTTCAGGTGCATGGACTTAACCGACCAGTGGCTACGTGAACGACAACGTGACAGCGAGGAGTCTAGCAATCATGTCGCACAATAATTATAGATTATAGTCCAGGGGCGGCCAACACGTCGATCGCGATCACCCGATCGACCACGTCTCGAGTAGTCGATCGCGTCTGATGCTGAATGAATTTAATAACATACCCGCTAAAATTGCCTTGAACCAATTTCATGCAGCGCATGTTGGGTGTTTTAAAATCGGATGAAAACAATTTTGTAGCCTACATGTGCAAAATACGATCTATACTTATAGTAGTATTTGAGTCTGGGCATGACCGTCGGAGCATTATATACGTAACAAGTGTACATTTCGCTGTTGCCAAGGTTTAAATATGAACGTGCCGAATATGGTGTGTTTTGACTGACAAACAATGCCACAATAACTTCTAAAATAGTTTAAGTTATTGTTTCACTCTATTTAATTCCCAACGGTAGCGGTAGCATCAGAATGGCCAATTTTTTCTATTTCCAAGCGAGCAAAGAATCGGACTTGGAGGAAATTGTAAATTAGATACTGAAGTTTGAGCAGTCATATAACCTTTATGGGTTTAGAATATTTAATGTTTGCTGTTTAGATTATACATGAATACTTGGCAAGGTGTTTATGTTTTGCTTTTCAACACATACGACTAAAAATTAGGTAGACCTCATATCTCAATTGTATGATTTAAATCTCAAATAAATGATGAAATGGATGAATGGAACATAAAAAATACTAATTTTGTGACGATGAAGAATGCCGAGCTTATTGTCAGCGGTGGAATTTTTTGTATAAGTGTGTGCTGTTATCTACATATTCAGTACCAATTAGTTTTTGTTTATGACCATATTATCGATCAGTGATCGCGTCCTATTTTTAAAATTTT